CAGGGACAGACCTCGACAGGGTCGGCGCTGAGCCTTCAACCTTGTGTGGTGTCTTGGGGGCTCGAGCCTGGTCCAATGTGTTTCTGGCCTGGTCTTTGCTTTGTCAGGACCCAAGGAACACTGGCCCATGCCTCGTCGCCTTTCGTTCCTCGCTTTTCGCCCTTGCCGTCGTGCCGCCCTGCCTGGCCTTGGCGTTGCGGTTGTTGTTGCGGGTGCTACTGGCAAAATTGCATATTCCCGGGGCTAGGATGTTGATTCTTGATCATGGGGCGACTTGCCAATATCGAAGCGTGGTTGACAAGGTAGCCAGTACTTCACAAAGCCACCAACATCCTACCCTAGTCTATGTACTGGCTACACACCAGTTAGTGGAGGTTTCCCTTTCCCTTACAAGTTATGGCCCCCGACGTCTACAAGCCTCGTCGTCCTTCTGCCCTTCGGTATGGGTCCTTGACGTGCTGTCAGATTTTTATGGCTCAAACGTGGGAATGGATGGACACTGAAGCGTTGGAACCCAGCATGGCAGAGTCACTGTGTTGCCAAAACTCGAGGTAACGGCTGACTCCTGCTCAGAACGGGTGGAAAAGGGGGGCGAAAGGGAAAGAGAGAGAGTGCCGCCGACACATGTACCTCGCGCCTTGCAAATACTTGATCCGCCCCACGCCAGCCACCTGATCTTATGTACATGGTTGCTACGGGCTACTTTTTGCCCTCCCTCTCTCTGACCATGCACCTGCACACTTTGAGGTGTCGGGTCGCCCAACCACCTCGTCACCCACACTTTGACTTGTCTCCCCTAGGTACCTTAGCAGACCTAGCAAACTGTGACTGTGACTGACTCTCTCGCCTTCATGTCATTCGGCCCATCTAGCCCAGCTGCGGCTATTCTCGTGAACATCAGTCACAGCCGTCCATGACCCATCTCGGAGGTTTCGCAATCCCACATTCCAATATGCTGCAATTTGCCCGTCCCATTTCATCCCATTTCGAGGAACACGACGCCCCCAACACCCTGATTCCCTGGCCCAGGCATGCCGACATGCAGTTGCTGTGACCTCCGCCTGACGCGGTCACCGTCCAACTCCTCGCCTCGCCTGTCTGCCCCCCTTGGGCATGGATCGATGAAAGGATGCAACACATTGTGGGGGAAACAAGAAAGGGGAAAATAAAGAGGCTTCGCTCCGATGCATCAGCAACAGCCGATACCTACGATACATGATACCCCGAACAACCCGCGTGGACACCACCCAAGGTATCTGGCTGCGCACTTTAGTCCAACAAGGACGATGCCCATCTAATGTCACGACTCAAGACATGCTGGCAGCTTCGGCCCTTTGACATGATTTCGGCCAGCCGTGGCCCTCATGGGACGGTGACTGAGGAGATCGCCAAGGCAGCTGCTGATGCTCATGCTCTCAAACCATCATCATCTTGCAAACTACCTGCATTCCGGTCCGGAACATGCGCGTCCACCGCCTCCGGTTGATCCATCCACTGAATCTACCCAGTATCAGCTTGCACTACCCGTGGTTAAGACGGGTGCAACCCATGGCAAAGCGCAGCTGAGCCAACACAACCACAGGTTGGATGTCAACTCACCGACCAAGCCGAATTACTACGGCGAAATCATCGACCCAGTGGCATCTCACACTTGTGTTCTCGTCACCAAGTGCCCATAGCTTGCGGCAACTCACCAATCGGCCCTTGGCTTTGGTCCAACCACTCACAGACTCATGCCACCATTGACGCCCGCCCTCACAATACAATGACTGTGGTACGCTGGAGGCCAGGGGAAAGAAACGGCATGCTATCCACACGACCCACGCCATGCCATCCTCACACACTTCCACACGAACCTACTGCGCGTGTGCACACAATCGCAACCTTCTCGTCTCTGTCTCCGCAAATCGACCTCACTCTGGGTCAGGGGTGTGTGGGCAAAGCTTCAAGCCAACAGCCGTCTCCTGAGTGAGATCTGTGATCCGCCCTCGTCCGTTCCACCTCCCATGCGCCTGGAGAGCGGCTTGTCATTCGATGGCCTCACGCCCCCTTGGCACACGCCCATTTTGGCTTCGCTCTTGCGCTAGGATGACTGCAAACAATTAACGTTCCGTTTCGTACCTTGGGCCGCCGCTCAGCGACATCAACCACTTCGTATGACCAACAAAGTGACCGGACGCCCAAGGCATGGTGCACCTAGACAGCTGTGCTGCCGGTCGCGAAAGACGATGCGCGGCACGCTAAACTTCTATCCGTTTGGACACCATCTTTCGTGGCCGACAGAGGGGCCGCAACTGTGCCATGATCCATTTATTGGATGTACCAAGTATTCGTCTCTTCTGGGTTGGAGCATTTCTGACCTCCCCTCAAAGCAACGTCTTGACGAGCCTGGTGGTCGCCGGCTTGCGTCAATGTACCCATCATTAGAGGAAGCACGCATGGTGATATATCGTCTCGAAGTTGCTGGCTAACAAGCCGTAGGTTAGTATAGGTCACGAAGAGGCCGACAATGCTCGCAGTTGGTACGGTACGTACTGTTGCGCCAGGGGACTTCCCTAAGCGGGACCGTCTCCGTGCTTCTCTCATAGTTCTAACTTCTTTCACCTCTGCGGCCCTGAGACCAAGACCCCGATGGAGATCTTGGGTTATCCAGAGTCTGTGCTTTTTCACACATCTTGTTTTCCGCCTTTTGGACGGTGGCACCTGATCTCTCTATGGGTTCCCCGAGATGAGCGGTAGGAGAGCCGCTGGACAAGGGCGAGCGAAGGCAACCGGCTTAACCGCTGTCTGATACAGTTGCGGGCTTTTCTAATGTTAGATTGCGCGGTGTCAGTAAGGCTTTCAGGTGGATGTGGAAGGGGTGGAAATGGACGTTGTCTCGTCTCGCCAACCATGCAGGTTGCTAGTGCTGGATTCGGGATGTGCATCCATCCACGAACAAATTGGCGACTCCTCTTCGCATCAGTCAGACAGGCAGACGATCGGTCAGTAACAGGATGGAAGGCCATCAACAGGCAAGGCCATCGGGTGGGTGGCACTTTGGAGGAAACCACCAAAACATGCAAGGCGAGATGCACATCCCATCTGCTAGTGTTTAGGGGGGGAGGAGGAGGAGGCTCGAGGGGGACGGCGACAGGCATGGAGGGATGACGGCCATGGATCCATGGTCCCAAGAGCGGGTGTCTTTGCTGGGGTTTCTTAGATCCCCAGCGGCTTCATAGCACTACGCCCCTTCTGATGTAACCCATCAGTTCAAACTAAGCTTGCAGGGGGTTGTTGACGATGGGTGATTGGACGCGGCTGGCTGATTGCAGACGGGGCCTCGCCGACTCAATGCGGTAACGACACCCTCTGGGTCAGCAAAGCAGAGAGGCGGTTTCCCTTGGACCCCTTCTAACCTGCTGCCCCTGGCCTGTATGCGGCGCTCTGCTGCGTTGTTGCACGAGACGCAAGCAGGGGTGGCCATCTCCAGACTCCAAGCTGGCGGCGTGAGCGCCTGGGCCAAGTGGTTCTTTGGGTCAAAGACGTTCCATCCATGTTCTTTTTTCTTTCCTTACCTCCTTGACCGCCCGCTGCCCCTGTGCTGCCCACCCGCCAGCCAGGATGGCAAGGTACGGGAAGGGTACGTACTGGACAGCCCTCCGCTTCAACCTAGCAGCTTTTTTTTTTTTTCTTGTGTTTTTTGCTTTTTTCTTCATTATATTCGGCCGTCCAGTCGTACCAGGCAGGCCTGCCCCCCCTCCCATCTCGACTTGAGCCTTGTGTGCCGCGAAGGCACGACGTCCTGGGGCCGGTGAGGTACCTCGAAACGGTACATGCGGCACCCGACGCTACTCGCTACCCGTCCATGGGAGACACACACACACACACACACGCACTCCTACCTAGGACATGGCGTAGAATTGGCACCACCACCTGGCCGGCTCCACAACCCATTCCCTCATTCATCCATCCGCCAGTGATCCATCCTTTCCACCCACTGCCCTGACCAGTCCAGTGTCCAGTGACCGCCCGGCGCTCGCTCGTACTCCGTAGTGTACCTCGCCCTCCCTGGTCCATCACCCATCTCCTCGCCCTCCACCACCACCACTCTGTGCCAGAACCACCAAGGCAAAGCAATCAAGCGTCCACACCCACTGCGGCACCACACGCTCTCACTCACCAGAGAACCCCACACACTCACACCCACCAGCGCTATCGACAAGTCCGTCCCATGCCTCCCATGCTTTCCCATCCTGCCTCCACCTGCCTGTGTGTCCGTCCTGCCCTGTCCTGCCCTGCCCACCCCGGCCGTATCTACTGCGGTGCAGAGACAGCCCAAAGGGAAGCAGCCGCCTCGTCTCCTTGGACTCCGAAATCCACTTACCCTCCGTTGTGAGATCCCTGCCCAATCCATATGACGCAGCCCGCTTTCTCGCTGGCCGCCCCTTCGACACCCAGACACCCGCCCAAAAAGGGACGGAAACCGTACGTACCGCCCCTGTCCAGCCACGCCGCTTGGGACACCTGCACTGCACGGCTGCGCGGATACCTCCCATCAACATCCCATCCCCATGCACGCAACCCGCAACTCGCTGCCTCTTCGTACACACATGCCAAACCGTTCTTCAAGGTCTTCACACTAGGTGTTGTCTTTCTTGGCCCACTCCATAACTCCATACCCATGGTGCCTGCTGCGTATCCGTAGTGGTAGTCTAGTGTGGTCGTTGCTCCGCTGGAGCTAAGGTTTGATTTTATCCTTCTTCAAGACCAATCTAGTATCACCCATGTATTCTCGCTACTCCCTTGGAACTCTTGCAGAGCAAGGCCTCTTTCTCCGTACTTACATAGGCTAGCCCTTGGGTCCGTCCTTTCTATGTCATCTATATCACCAACCACCGCCGCATCTCTTTCACTCTCGACTGCTTCTCACATCAGAGTCTCCAACTACAACCATTTTCTACTTTTCACACTACACCACACCACACTCAACAACGGTCACCGACATCACATTCACCATCATGATGCCCACACTCATGGGAGGTGCTCTCCCGGGCGTCGTCCCCATGTCCTACCACCAAGACACCTTCCTCGACGACTTGTCGAGACAGATGGCTCTATCACAGGCGTCAAGGAGGCTATCAAGAGGTTCCAACGGACAACGAACTGGATCAGCCATGCGCGTCGTCAAGCCCACAAGCGCAAACAACAGCCCGAGGTCATCGTCATCTATGCAGGCGAGGAGGAGGACTATGATGAACGACGGAAATCTGGCGAGGAGGAGGCAGCAGGTTATGGACCACGTCCCGATGCCCGAGTACAGCTCTCAACCTCGACCCAGTCGTCCCCTCAGCTGGCACCCATCCACCTTCCAGCAACAACAGCACAAGTTGCCGGTTCAGCAGTCCGTGGCCCACTACCCGTTCCCTGCCACCACATCGGCATATCATGAGACCGACAGCTACACTGCGTACCAGCAGTTCCCGCCTACACCTGCTGCCTACTCTTGCAGCACTTCTCCTGCCGCCGCCTTCTCACCACTTTCTCTCCCCTTTGGCGCCTACGATGGATCTTCCTATCTCCCCGTAGAGGGTTGGAATGTTCCCCAGCAGGCCCCTCCAGCTTATGTCTCCTCAACTGAGGCTGCTGGATATGCCGAGCCCTTCCCGGCGCTTCCCTCCACTCTCCCCGACTTGACACCTTCCACCACCTCGACTTCCTGGAACTCCTACCCCATGGACGGCTTCACCAGCACGTCGCCGCCGACTCCAGAGACCCTTCCCCAGGCTCAGCAGCCGCAGCCCATCGTTCCCAACGAGGACACCATCCCCTACCAGCCTCTGGACGAGCCTGAGGAGGAGGGTGAGATTCTCGTGGGCATGGGCCTCTACGACGCGCCTGACAAGTACGACCACGACCCTCAGCTCGACGCTTCTCGCTCCGCTATGTCCTCCCTCCTGGGTGCTCCGTACCGTCCTCGCGAAGGTACCGGCAAGGGCTTGAAGCTCGAGGAGTCGTGGCAGCCCCCTGAGGAGAGCGACGACGGGGATCAGGAAGATGCCGACGGCGAGGAACAGGATTAATATGACGACACAACGAAAGAAAACCCAAGGAATTTCACGGTACACTATCAGCGCAAGCGATTATGATTTAATGACGACACTTTGTATACTATGTATGATTACAACCACCAAGAGATGTATCACCACAGAGGGGAGTTGGGCCTTAGGATGGAAAAACATCTATTAAGGCTGATGATTTTGGAAAAAAAGGGAAGGCCAAAACAATACCCCAGGGATACACAATGAAAGGGACGCAGGGGCCAGACAAGTGGTCCCCGTGTCGTCAAACGATGTGCAGCTTAGCTGCGAAGATAGATGACCTAACCCAAAATACAAGAAAAACACCGCGCTATGCGCAAAAGACTCAACACTCAACCTGTCCACTTTTTGCACCTATCGTGACTTGATGCGTGCAAGATGCGGGAGATTTCGATTACCAATGTACACAGCCAGCACCAACAGCACGGAGGAGGCGCCGAATCGAAGTTGAATCGTCAACGCGGACGCTAAAAATAAGCGAGAAAGAGCCTCCCGAACAGTATCCCTGTCGAGCATGGCATGAGCTGCAGTGTGGGTCCATGCTCCCCTGTCACATTCCAGCGGCCGGCCAATCCTGTACACTGTGGAACCCCACCCCCGCCGTTCTGGCCAGCCCTGCCAGGTCGCGAAACACCCCGCCGTGTCCCCTGAGAAAATTCTGGTGCGGTGACCTCACCGGCCCCCAGCCTCCTCCCCCTCAGCGTCTACTCCCACTGTGTCTCACTGTGTGCCGCACCTCAGACTCCAGAGGGCGACGGATGTGCAGTGAGCCACACACAGCTGGCACTACTGGAAGCCGAACCCGACAGTGCCAGCTGAGTGAGTGAGAAAACACTTCACAATGTTGGAGAGGGGAGGAGGGGGAAGGAGGGGGAAGAGGCCGTTATCGGCTCGACTTGGCAACTCTACCCCACCATTGATGCTGTGGAAATTTTCGTCGCGGGCGAGTCACGAATCACGACAGCAAAGATACCGGGTAGCGATCCGATTTTTTTTTTTTGCAATTGCTGCCAAACTACCTGGTCCTGTTTGGCTACGAGACCTTTCCCCTCTTTCGTGGAAGCTGAAGCCTCGACTCACACATCACTGAATTGCATCGCACACGATACAGTCAGAAACAACACAACTCGAATTCTCAAGATGGCATCCCAGTACGACTCACCCGCTGTGCACCACCCGTCTGTTGTGTGTGTGTGTGAGAGGACGAACCCCGCGCTAATTACTTTTGCCATGGGCGTAGGAGCGTTTTGATGCTCGGTGCGGGCTTCGTGACCCGGCCGACCCTGGACATCCTCAGCGAGGCTGGCATTCCCGTCACTGTTGGTGAGCAAGAGCCCTCCGTCTTCGTGCGCGTCTGACATCAGACATTGCGCGCCATTATTTGCTGTGTGTTTGGTGTAGCGAAACTAACCCGTCCCGAACCAATGCAGCTTGCAGAACTCTCGAGTCGGCCCAGAAGCTGTCCGCCGGTGTTAAGCACGCCACACCCATCTCGCTCGATGTCACCAACGATGCCGCTCTCGACGCCGAGGTCGCCAAGCACGACCTGGTCATCAGCTTGATCCCCTACACCTTCCACGCGACCGTCATCAAGTCGGCCATCCGCCAGAAGAAGCACGTCGTCACCACCAGCTATGTCTCCCCCGCCATGATGGAGCTTGACCAGCAGGCCAAGGACGCCGGTATCACCGTCATGAACGAGATCGGTCTTGACCCTGGGTAAGTGTGGCAGACACAACCACGAATTATGAGCAGAGATGTTGACGTGTGCTCCAGTATCGACCACTTGTACGCTGTCAAGACCATCGAGGAGGTTCACGCCGAGGGAGGCAAGATCGTTTCCTTCCTCTCCTACTGCGGTGGTCTCCCCGCCCCTGAGGCCTCTGACAACCCGCTCGGCTACAAGTTCTCGTGGTCTTCTCGCGGTGTCCTGCTTGCCCTGCGTAACGCGGCCAAGTACTACAAGGACGGCCAGGTCGTCGACGTCGCCTCCAAGGACCTCATGGGCACCGCCAAGCCCTACTACATCTATCCCGGCTACGCCTTCGTCGCGTACCCCAACCGTGACTCGACTCCCTACAAGGAGCGCTACAACATCCCCGAGGCGGAGACCATCATCCGCGGCACCCTCCGTTACCAGGGCTTCCCTCAGTTCATCAAGGTCCTCGTCGACATTGGCTTCCTCGACGACACTGCCCAGCAGGCTCTCTCCAGCCCCGTTCCCTGGAAGGAGGCCACCAAGGCCGTCGTCGGCGCCTCCTCGTCGAGCCAGAGCGACCTCGAGGCCGCCATCCTCTCCAAGGCGACCTTCGAGTCCCCCGAGGACCAGCAGAGAATCCTCAGCGGTCTCCGCTGGATCGGCGTCTTCTCTGACGAGCAGACCATCCCCCGCGGCAACCCCCTCGACACGCTCTGCGCGACGCTCGAGAAGAAGATGCAGTTCGAGGAGGGCGAGCGCGACATGGTCATGCTCCAGCACAAGTTCGAGATCGAGCACAAGAGCGGCGCCCGCGAGACCAGGACGTCTACCCTCGTCGAGTACGGCGACCCCAAGGGCTACTCCGCCATGGCCAAGTTGGTCGGTGTCCCCTGCGGTGTTGCTGTCCAGCAGGTGCTCAACGGCACCATCTCGGAGAAGGGTGTCCTGGCGCCGATGAACTCCAAGATCAACGACCCCTTGATCAAGGAGCTCAAGGAGAAGTACGGAATTTTCCTGATCGAGAAGACCCTGTCTTAGAGGGTGTTTGTGTGGCGTGAGGTGGCATAGCTTGTGGCAGACCTGGGCCGCATCGGATCGGGTACCTACCGGGTGTCGTCGATTCTGGCGATCACCTTGATGAGAATTAAAATAAAAGTTTAGACCTCCAAGGATATAGAAGGACGCATTGATGTCCACGATGTGTATGCACTCTCGTCCGGTACCCGTACGTGAGCCCCAACATTGCGCTACCCCTGCATCATTCGGTCATCTCTCGAGTGGACCGGACATTGGGGCGGTGGTGAAGGAATGAAAAAGATTCATCTCAGCTGTGCAGCGCCAGAGCAGGCGTTCGAATATGGGCCAGAGACATTGGTGCAACGCCACGGCACGAACGGAATCAAAGTTGGTGAGAGAAAGTGCAACTCATCTGATGTGTCGGTCAGTGTGGAATGAGATGCCCCTGAGGTTGAGAGTCTCGCTGCACTTGCCATAGGCAGGCAGGGTGGCGCTTTACATGTCCCTGGCGGTGGTCGGCTGGCGGTGTGTCGTGTGCTGTGTCTGTGTCTGGTAGTCGGGAATTTCACTAGAGAGCCAAAAATTGTCTCCATACTTTTCTTCCCCTTCCATTTTCCCCGTCCCATCTATCAACTTCGAAGTATTCCACGAATACTGCGTAGCACACACCCCCTTGCTCCGACCCCAGGCACCCCCCATTGGACTGCAGCGGAGAGAAAAGACAAATCGGTTTGGCGCCCTGTTACGGAGAAGGCGTTCGGTACCGAGTACTTGCATCTGAACACCAAAAGCCTCGAAAAACGAAGAAGAAAAAGCCTTGAAGCCACGCCGCCAGCACCAGGAACAAACGACGAGAGCCTTTCCGGACGCGGCTTTGAAACATTGCCTACATTTACCGCACACACAGCTGCTGCCTCTCGGCGCGCGACTCTAGCGGTCTAGCACACACACGAGGGCGCGCACTCGCTACCTGGGCGCAGCTCAACAGCCCGCCGAACGAACGAACGATCGGAAGCATGGTCCAATATATCCTGACGCCATGGCGCGATCGCCGCGAGCTGCTCAAGGTTCGCCAGCAATTCTATCCCGCAGCCGCCCCGTCAGCACCTGCTGCTGCCACTACAGCGCCCTCCACCAAAGCCCGAATGGCCGCCAGCACCACTCGGGCACCCGCTACGGCTGCTGCACCACCCAGACCGTCGGCGTCGTCGACCCATGCTGCTGACACCACGGCCGCAACGAGCACCAGCGCCAACGACCATTCAGCAGCAGCAGCAGCAGCAGCAGCACTGGCGGCCCAGCACCACGCCGTCGCCAGAGTGTCCATGTGGATGCAGCGCGGGAACTGCCCGCACATGGTCGAGTCGACGGCGCTGCTGACGGCCGCCATCCTCAGCGACGGGGAGAGCTCCGGGAGCGCTGGCACCTATGCCGTACGAGCGGCCTACGCGGCCGCCTTTAGTCGGTACGTTTTGGCTTCTTCGTCTTCTTTTTTCGTCTTTTTGCTTTTTTTTGGTCTTCGATGCAAATACACTATGCAGTGCAAGCGAGACAGAAGGGGGGCATGTCAAAGTCTATTTCGGCCGTTTGCTCCCTCTCGTCTGGGCTGCTTCCCGCCCGTCTCCCACCCTCCCAACCAAAGCCAACCCAACCAACCCTCTTTGGGGCCATGAAACACGGTGTTGGTTTGTTCTGCCCTTTGGCTTGTCCGTCTTTCTTCCCCTCTGGCCTTTACATCTCCACGCCCCTCCCTTCCCCGGGGATCTGGGCACCTGTCGTCGTTGGCGTTATTTTGGCTTTCGGGTATTTCATAATTTTGCCCTCTGAGGGCGGGATTGTCAAATCCTCTGCTCTCACACCACCCTTTGTGTCTGGGACACACCCTCACCCTCCGTTCTTGCCATGACGCCCTGCCCGTCTTTTGGGTTCAGCCCCTCAGACCCAGAGATCAGAGACCATAGGCCAGACCCAGGCCGGTCCGTCTGATGAAATCGACCAGGTAGAATCGCCTGATCTGCAGACGAATATTACACTTGCAAACACTTACAAGAGCGCCCGCTCGCTTGTACGGGCTAGCTTTTCGAAGCCAGGACTTGCAAAGACACCTTCTCCATGGTTGGCAAAACCATCTCGATGTTCGCTCTTGTCTCAGCTTGTCTGGGTCGCGAGTGCGACTCTGACCTACGGCTGACTGACGTTCCTGGCCCAGGAGCATTCGTTTTACCTGCTGGAGACGTGTGGTCTCTCAACCAACACCAAGACCTGCAAGGCATCTTCCCTGACCATGTATACGGTTATGGTTCCGCCTGAGCCGTCCGGACTGCTCGTCCGTCTCCGGCCGGCGGCCCCTTGGGGGGATTGTCTTTCACGACGCTAGTATCGCTGATCGTCATACCACACCTGCTCACTAACACTTGCAGGTTCGTGACCGGGCTCCTCGACGGGCACCAGGACAAGCAGCGCAAGCTGAGCATGTACTCCGTGGCCAAAACCATTGGTCTGCCGGCAACGTTTGTGGAGCTGCGTCACCAGGCCACGCATGAGCAGCTGCCATCCCTGGCGAAGCTGCGGTCCGCTGCGAGGAAGGCTCTGGCGTGGATTTGGGAGTACTACTGGCAGCACCTGGGCGCGAATGAGGATGAGGAGGAGGTCATTGTCGGGGACGCCGCCGCGCGTGGGTATCGTGAGATGGTGACGGCGTACCTGGAAGAGGCGGAGTGGGCGAGGAAGGCTGAGCGGAAGAGGCTGTTGGGCAGGCTGGACGAGAGCCAGCTGCTTGAGGCGCTGTCGCAGGTCATGGAGGCGCCGAGGGATGATGCAGTCTTGCGGGGGGCTCTGAGGTTATCGAGGGAGCTTCTGCACAAAGGACAAGGAGAGGTGGAGGAGCGCGAGGATGTTGACCTGGAGCAACAGGTCGAGGAGATTACGCAGATTTCACGGAGTAGGGACGTCATGATGTCGGACGCGAGGGACGAAGAGAAGGCTGCTGAAGATGCGGAACATGAGGGCGACGAGAGCGGTGGGATCGGTTGGGCCAAGCACAAGGGCCCTTGGAAGCCGCGTCCCATCGGCGTTGCCTGAATCCAGGCCGTCCATAATTAAAGACGACCTGATATCATATTCTTGTCTCCCTCTGCCTGCTTCATCAGCGGTATGTTGAAGTCGAGTGTTGAGTCCAAAGTGAAGACGTCTTGCTGCATCACGTGGGGGGTCATGACGATGAGCGAGTGGAGGGGGGACTTCCTGCAGGGGCCCCCTCTTCAGATTTGTAATAACGTCACCGTGACTTGCCGCTGAAGTGCAGCCAATACCACCACTCGAAGCACCGACGACACGCCTTCTCACCATCGCAATTGCCTTTCATGAATCCCCTCATCGTAAGGAGGCCATTTCTAAGACACAAACTCGCTACCGTAACAGCAGCTGTAAGCATCTATCCGTCTTGAGGGAAACGTTTGAAAGACGGGCCGCTGCTGACAACTTATGCAGCTTACATTCACCAACGCCATGCATATCCAGTCGATTCCCATGTGTTCGTTTTTCAAGTCTCACGATGTAGTCCAGATTCTGACGCGACCGTGGATGTGCAGGGAAGGGTAGTAGCAACAACTACGCCTACCTGGTGAAGGACGAAAAGACCAACGACGCCGTCATCATTGACCCGGCCAACCCGCCCGAGTGAGCGACCCTTCCCGCCGCGATGCGTTCAAGTACTCGGTCAGAGTCCATGAGCTGACAATGTGTGCGCCAGAGTCGCCCCCGTGCTGGAGAAGGCCCTGAAGAACAACGAGATCAACCTCACCGCCATCGTCAACACGCACCAGTGAGTCTACCTGCGAGCTTCGACTTTGGGGGAGAGGGCACGTCCGACTAACGACTCGCAGCCACTGGGATCATGCGGGCGGCAACAAGAAGCTGGTGAGTTTCCTTCTGGGGAAGATAAGCATGAGTGTTCGCTGACACGCCGCAACAGCGTCAGGAGCTGAAGAAGCCTGACCTGGCCATCATCGGCGGCAAGGACTGCGAGGCCGTGACGAGGACGCCCGGGGACGGCGAGTCGTTCAAGATTGGCAGCATCGCGGTCAAGGCGCTCTACACGCCGTGCCACACGCAGGACAGCATCTGCTGGTTCATGCAGGACGGGGAGCAGAAGGTCGTCTTCACGGGCGACACGCTCTTCCACAGCGGTGAGGACGTTTCTGCCCCCTTCATCTTTCCCGTCGCGACTGACACCATCGACGCAGGCTGCGGCAAGTTCTTCGAGGGGACCCCGGAGGAGATGCACAAGGCGCTGAACAAGACGTTGGCCGCGTTGCCCGACGACACTGTCGTCTTTGTGAGTTTGAGTCCCGGATCGGGGGCATGAGTGAGAAGCTGATATCGGAGGCAAGCCCGGCCACGAGTACACCAAGTCCAACGTCAAGTTCGCCGCGTCGGTGCTGCAGAACGAGGCCATCCTGAAGCTGCAAAAGTTCGCCGAGAACAACGAGGAGACGCAGGGCAAGTTCACCATTGGCGATGAAAAGGTATGTCCCAGTTATGGATGGCAGATGGATGAGTGGGCCGCTGACTTTGATGTAGAAGCACAACGTCTTTATGCGTGTGGATGTGAGTCACGACATTGATGTACCGAGAGGTGCGTTCTAGGCTGACGAGAGATATCAGGACCCGGAGATCCTGAAGGTTACGGGAGAGCAGGAGCCCGTTGCTGTCATGGCCAAACTGCGCGAGATGAAGAACAACTTCAAGTGAGTAAGTGGTAGGCTTCATTTTCTCTCGTGTGGCATAGTTCCGGTAGAGCACTACAGTAGACTGACTTGTGAAGTCCGCCTCCCGAGTCAAAAATTTGATGCGAAGTGGGCGGATGGGATATGGGGTTCAACACGGAGGCGCGGAGGTGATACCAGTAGTTTACGAATGCTCCTTACTAGAACACACAGTGGCGTATGTTCCGTCGTGAGTAGGGAATAGAGTTCACTCGTCACAATTACAGTATCTTCACATCATCATCAGCATGTCTCCCGAAGGCCCAAAGCACCCGACCGAGACCGATCGGGCGACTGGTGTAGCCCAGGGAAGAGGCGGTTCGTCCTGCGACCGCCCCCGTTTGTTCAATTTTGCTTCACTGTCCACACGTGCTCGCTCTGGGATTTGGAAGCGGCAAGCTCTAGCATATTTTGAAGCGGTTTGAGGCAAGAGAAAGGGAAAAAACGGCAGTCGCCGTGGGGTTCGTGTCTGTTGGACCTCCCGTGGGAACGGTGTTTGCATCCGTCAAGTGTCAGGATGCCGAGGCCTGCGGCGTGTGGAAGGCATGTTCCGGCCGTTGGGGAGTTTTGAGATGTAGGGAATCTCCTGCGAGGTCTGCGTGGGTTGCAGAGAGGTGCCGTCCGGTGCGGAGGCTGTAGACTGCGTGCGGCCGCGTGTGGGCTTTGCAGTGGCAGTGTGTTTGTGCCAGAGTAGGCGAAGTCTTTGCAGAGCGATGCTGCTGTGTTTTTGCCAGTGAAGGCTTGTCTTGCCAGAGTAGGCGGTTGTCTTTGCCAAAATCGGCGCATCTGTGCCAGAGTAGGCGGGTTCACCAGTGTAGGCGTGATGATCTGTCGAGGCGTTTTACCGTCCTCAATGCAGTTGCGCATCCGTCGCGTTGTGCAATGGATGGCTGTGAAAGGGTAAAGTCGAGGAGTCCAACCAAGCCGTTGCAGAATTTTATATCCCCATTGCGGCGGGGCCCGCGATACGGTGCTTGGTGGGCGCCCGCACGTGCCATACACACTGTGTGCGCGCCGAAAGCCAATTAACGCGTGGTCGCAGAGCAAAGCGTCCCGGCGCATCCATCGTCATCGACGTCCAACCCACGCTTCCCACCGAACCTCTGTCCCCGACTGCCAGACATAAACACAGCATATTTCCAAACAAACAGGAGCAAACAAAACATTAATTCACAATGGTAAACCACCTCCGGCCCGCTCCTGCACCCGCACAGCTAACTCTCCCCTTCCCAGCCCGCAAAGCGCAAAGCGCCAACGGCCGCCTCCGCCGACCCGCCACGCCCGCGCGCCTCAAAGCTCGCCAAGGAGCACAACATCTCGGCGCAAGAAGAGCGCGAGATCCGCGAGGCCTTCTCCCTCTTCGCGGAGCCGATGCGCGGTTACGGCAAGGAGGGCGTCATCCCGACGTCGGACGTGCGGTCGGCGCTCGTGGCGCTGGGGATCCCGCCGGCCTCGCGCGCCGAGCAGGCCGAGTTCGTCGAGATCCTGGACCCGGAGGGCGAGGGGTTCGTCGGGTACGAGCCCTTCTTCGCCATCTGCGCGCTCAAGTACCACCAGCGGGAGACCAGCGGGGCCGGCGGCGAGGAGAGGAGACGGGAGGTCGAGGAGGCGTTCCGGCTGTTCACCGGCGTGGGGAGCTCGAGCGGAGGGCGGGACGTGATTTCGCTGGCGGATTTGAAGAGGGTTGCTGGCGTGCTGAGGGAGGACGTCAAGGATGAGGTGTTGAGGGACATGATTCTCGAGGCCAACTGCGGCGCGGGGGTTGGGAGGGGCGTGAGGAGAGAGGAGTTTGAGGAGGTGATGCGCCGGGCTGGGGTCTGGCGGTGATGCTGAGGTGGTGTGCGCATTCGAGCGTTGTTCATTATACCCTGCGAGGTGTTTGGCGTTTGGCAAGGCAAGGCATGGCATGGCATGGCGATTTACCGTCTACAGGAGGTTCACGACGGCGGGCAGGACAGACTTCATTTCATCAAATTTCACGAATTGCAAAACAGGATGTACCAAGGTGAATACCGGATATAATAATGATTCTATCTGAACTCAGTGCAGCCCATGTGGTGTGGGGGTCGGGGTGTTCTTCCACCGCCCCCTGGTTGGTTCCATGCTCATAAAAAACGCCCTTGAAATATGCATATTCCGGCCTTTCCCTTGGTTTTGCCATGCGTTGTGTGTGTGTGTCATGACCAGACGTTGGAAATATGGATTATTACATCCTCGTCTTATCCCAAGTCAAATACAAAACCCTCCCGTATGTGTGAGATGATGAGGTTGGATGGGTTGATGGTGTCCTCTCCGTAGCCTATTTGCTGGCCGGCTTCCTTTTGTGCAAGAATAGAACGAGAAAAACGCAGAGTAAAAAGAGAATCGTCGTAGCACGGCACGCCGCGCCTGCCGCATACGCTCTGTTCAGAACGGAGCAGAGTGAGGGACGGAAGCGGCGTACTAAGCCGTCGTGTCGGCGGCGGCAGCGGCTGCCTTCTCCTTCTCGGCGGCCGCCTTTTGCGAGTCAATGACGGCCTGGAGCTCAGGGGGCGCCTTGAAGCCCTGGTGGTCCTGGTGACGCTTGTAAAAGTAGTTGTCGGGCTTGGGGCGGAGCTCAGCGGGCAGCTCCTCCAGGACGCACTCGAGGATGGCGTCGATGGACTTTTGCTTGGAGCCGTCGCGGTGCCAGATGGAGATGAGGTGGGAGTTGAAGCGGACCGAGAGACCTACGCCGCAGATCTGGTCGTCTAAAGAAAGGCATTCCGTTAGCAATCCCGCAGTCTCTCCGTGTGTGTGAGCAGAGGCAAAGGAACTCACTGTCATCGAGGACGCTCTGCAGCTTCTCGCCAATGGCAAGCAGCTGCACACGGGTCCAGACGTCCGGGCCAATGTTCTTGGGGACGCGGAAGGTCCAGGCGCCACCGTTGATGTTGCGGCGGTCCTCCCAGATGGGCTTGAAGCCCTGCTTGAAGAGGTAAATGGACTCGCGCATCTTGATCTGGTCGACGGGGGTGTTGTTGTTGTACTTCCAAAAGTCCTGGACCGACTCGATCTGGGAGCCGAGCTGCTCCAGCTGCACCTTGTACTCCTCGTCATTGCTTGTCTTCTGGTCCTTGTTTTGCCTGCGAGAGAATGGTGTCAGTCAGGTGCTAGGACCTCGGCGAGGCTCAGGGGGGATGGTGTTGTTCGTTGCGGGGTTGAATGCGCAGCAGGAGAGCAAACACGCTGGAGGGAATCTGGGCAGGCTTACTTGTCAAAGTAGACGTTCCAGTAGTGTTGTGTCGGCAGCGGGCGCATGGCCTTCAGGAAGTTGCGCTTCGCATCGTCACGCTGGTCGGCCGGGGAGCTGACGCTGGGCGAGTTGGGGTCGGTAGTGCTCTGGGACAGGCCCGAGAGGCCACGGGTGAAGAGCGCGGGTCTGGTAGCCATGGTCGCGGTCGATACGAGGGGTATAGAAGAACGCAAAGAAGGACGAAGGGCAGAACGACAGACTGAGAGTGACAAGAGGTGTCAAGAACGTGAAATGTCGGGCTCAGGAATAAGCTGTCGGCTCGTACGTTGTGGCCGGCTGCAGCAAGACCTAGCACCTGGTCGGGGATCGGGGATCGGGGGTCGGGTGGACGTGGCCGAGAGAGAGAGAGAGAGAGGGAGCCGTTTGGCTTGCTGTTCGTTCGTTGGCTCGGTGGTCTGCGGCAGTGCCTAATGTAGCAACGAGGGGCAGAAGTGGGCAGCCCCGTGTGGCTCTTTAGTGGAGGGACTGGGGGGTTGGACGACGTGGGCTTATTGCTGTCGTTGCTGATGGTGCTGTTGGTCGCTTTTGACGGCGGGGTCTGCGTTGCGGTACGGGAAAAGAGGCGTCGTGGGCTGTTGGTTTTCACCAATGAACAGCGACCAAAGTCTTGAGTGGTTGGTTTGGCGGATTCAAGGGACGGTAGCAGGAGCAATCGAGGGGTGGCGTATTCTCGAGTATTCAGAGATGAATCTCGGCGATGGCAAGAAATCCACACAATATGCCCTTGTTGCTTCACAGCTGCTGACGCTTTATTTTCCTCCAATGTCGGCCGGGCTCAATTCAATTCGGGCACGGGACGAGATAAGAACGAAACCGTAAACCGGAAAGGAACCCTTTCAAAAGAGACAGGTTGAGTGAGAGGAGGTCGGAAACAAGGGTTCAGCGGTTGACAGCAACGGCGGACGGCGACAAACAACAGGTTTCTGCAACTTCTGAATGACTCGACAGTCGGATCCAGGGAGCTTGGTGTCAAAGAGAGGTGAACAACACGACAAGGCGGCGACCGAGGGAGAGGCGGTAGAGAAAAGAAAGGGAACAAGAGGAAGAGAGAAAGCAGTAAGGTTGAGGGTAATAAGTATCACCAACAATTCGGTCCTCGTCTCTCGTCGTGGTCAGCAGCAGCAGCAGCGCCTCCCTCCAAACACAATCACCCCTACTCCTGCTCGTCTACAGTGCTGCACTTGTTCAGGTACCTCACCAAAGGAGACAGCAACCCGGAGGGAACACGACACAAGACGATACGGCGTCCAGGCGGCGAGGTACCTTTCCGCGGCCTCAGCTTAGCTTTCAGGTACCGTACCTGACCTCCCCTCTGGATGTTAGGGGAGTTTGTCTCGAGATTGGACAGGGAGCATCGGAATCCGGTCGAGAGTCCTCTGATCTGAGGTCTGAAGCGCAACAGAGCAGGGAACCTGGCAGTTAATTGGCGAGTGACACCGGAAGGGGAAGTCGAGGGACCGGGGACCAGGCACAAGAGGAGGGGACCTGGAACCTGGATCTCATCTTTGCGACCGTGATACCGTCCCGAATGGAACTTGGGACTTGGGATCACCAGCAACGACGAATAGGGGCCCTGCCGGCGCGACACCCACTGCTGGTGCTGTCTGTTACTGGTGCTGCTGCTGCTTGCCTGGCCTTGCCATCAGCCGTTCCTGCCGCTACGCGCGTAATAAGTGGCAGCAGCCAGCAGCAATAGAGTACGCCGGTCATGACCCTAGGGTGACATTCCGTGGGCCGTCCGTCCCGAGTTTGGAGACGTGCGTTGGTCAGTGCTGGAACTGACGCTAGAGTCAACTGGTACCGAAAGCGGCGTCAACGGCGAGCAACAGCGAGAGATAGATAGACACACAAGACTCAGCACACAGAGAGGACACACAAGACACAGGATACAGAGACACAGACAGAGACAGGGCAGAGCCAAGGTAGAGAGAGAAGCTTGGTGGGAACATCTTACCGGCCTGAAACATCGAGCCGCATTTGCGGCCAGTAATAAGACGTTGCGACGAGGGGGGAGGGGAACGGGGGGGCTGCCGCGGGAGTGGGAGCAAAGACCGGATGTTCAGGTTCGAGAAGCTTGCTGCTTGCTACGGCACAGCGATGGACGACGGCTGCTGTCCCTGACTTCCTGCTCAATGTTCGCTGTTCCCCCCTCTGAGGCAATGGCGTGCCCACGACAAGGTGCCTATTCGTCAGGTACCTTGCGCACCGGCGACAGGGACATGGGCCAAGGCATGTGCCGTGCCGTGGAAATGCAGGGTTCACCGGCACCCGCCCCAGAGAGCGACGAGTTTAAGTGCACCGTAGCGAATTGATACGGATGCCGTGCGAACGTCTCCTCTCCCCTCAATCATCCCGATATGAATTAAGGAGGCAGGCACTCGACTGTTAAGGTATGATGTGCATCTGAGCCGACGTAAGCTGGAGCTTTTCATATTCGTCTTCGTTCGGACAATCCGTTCGATGGCCCCAAGGGTCTGGAACCGGGCCTCTGCGCTCGAGTTGCAAGTCATGTCAGTCAGTACCAAGCACTACGCACTACGCAGTAACCTCGCTCAGGTAACGTCCTCAGAGATTGACTTTCCAACGTCACCCAGACGCAGATGCACCCATGAAATCAATTGAGTTGTCTGCGGAAGTACACTCAGCTTCGCCCTCTCAGCAGCTTCGGAACCCTCTGCGAGCTTTCCACTGGAAGAAGAAAGGAAGGACCGAAATACCGAAGAGACAAAAACCATCCGGCCATAGTCTCAGATGCCCATTCGTTCGCTCCCCCGACTTGAGTCTGCCCCGGCATCGAAGCCACCGCGCAAAGTAAAGACTAACTTGAGATGAATCTCAGGGGCCCAGATCGAACCTCTCTTCGATTTTGCCTTTTGCCCACCAGGCATGATGTGCAGGAAGTTCTCCCGGCCGCGGGTGCTCACCTCGCCCTGGGTGCCCGGTCCAAACCTCGCCCGTCCAGACAATCGGTTTCCCCCCGCCCATTGGACTGAACTAACTAATTGACCCCCATTGCCAAACGGTTACATGGTCTCAGACACGTACCAACGCTGTCCTTTGCGCCCGGCTGTTGCGAAGCGGAACCGGCGAGCAGTCACTTCTCTGTAATAGACGGGCTGGTGACAGGTTGCAGGTCACCACATCTGACAGACAGATCATTCGTTTGTCTTCTTCCCGTGGGTCCCCTTCGAGACAACGACGCGCGCGCAACGTTAAACGACTTGAAGCGTTTGCCAAGCACCGCTCCTCTGCAACTATACAACCCAATACGCCCATTCTCAAACTGTACGAACTCAAGATCTTTAACGCACAAGAGATAACTCCATCCAATGTCCAAAGAGTCCAAACCCAATCTCCACACATAGAGACAGACCACACAACAGGCATGAATGGGCTCTAGCGCTTCCGCGTCAGAGACTGCCGCCAGATAAACGACTCTACTCGTCCACAGAGTCCACATCTGCTCTCCACGAATGTCAATCCAGTCAGTGAACGGGATGTTGTGCAGACTACGGTTGTAATTGCGTAAGTGATAGGCACGTCTCGCTCGTCCCGTCAAAGTTTCGATTCGCCGCCGTTGCACCCGTTGCCGCCGGATGGCGCAAGAACCACGTCAGAACAAATCATAGTTCGAGACAAACGCTCTTCCGTCGTCTCTTCCAAAAAGCCTCCTTCCCGGGGAGGGGGAGTTCACACGTTCGTTCCCAGCCAACCCTAACAGCGGGATCCCTTCCAGAACGCCCTTCTTTCTCGCCGAGCTCGCCCCTTTCAAACCGTACCTGAGCTACAGGCCGTCGGGACGGGGATGTCCCCATCACGCCGGGCCCGGCCGCTAACCATGCCAATCGGCCCTGACAGCACGTATATCGTCCACCTTGTTCCATGTTGCCCATCTTGAGGCACCGTCTGGATGGATACCTAGTTTGAGATCACGTCGGTGTGAGAGGGAGGACAGGAGCCAGAGGGGAGAGAGAAGACCCGCCCACTTCCCTACGGAATGACAGCCCGGCTGGCTTTGCTTCACGCGTTTCGATCATGACGTATCCATGGAACTTTGTTATCTACATACATTTGGGAGGGCATTTCTACTTGTCCCATACTACGTTATCCTATCCTACGTTATCCTAATTCGTCTCTCTCATGCCGTGCTAACCTAACATACGGGCTCGTGCATGTGCGAAACGACTGTCGTCCATAACAGCCCTGTACCCTGAATCGAAGACTCCCTAAACACCATGCTGTTATCATCGTGATTTTGACACCACACGCACATATACCAATAGCCGCACTTGTTCGTAATTCTCCTTCTTGTCTCCTTACGCATTCAGCGCACCTGCCAATACGTCGCCAACCCATCGCTCCTTGTCGTCTCCGATTTTCCGTCTGAACATGCCCAAGTCGCTCAGCAGGCTGCGCATATAATCCTGCATGTCGTTGGCATTGTCCTCAATGACATCTGAGTCGTAAGCCGTATCGTCCGAGTCGTCGTATAATGACTCGCCGTCCTCGGCATTCTCCTTATCCTCCTGCCCCGCCTTGGCCTCTTCAGTCTCGTGTTCCTCTTCAGTTGCCGGCTTGACGGTGACGGCGGGGATGGGGTTCTTGAGACTGTCGAGTGCCAACTTGAGATGCAGGCGGAGGGCTTCATTTTCCGTCTGCAAGCTCCGGATCTTTCCCTCTGCGACGAGGCTGCGCTCCTCCATCATGCGCTGCATGGTCACCACGCGGTTCTGGTACTCCTCGAGCTTCTCTTCTTGGTCCATATTGTCCTTCTCGCGCCGGCGCGACTCCGATACAGACAACTGGAGAACGCGGATCTCCTCCGCCATGGCAGTGATCTGTGCATCACGCTCCGCCGACGAGATGTGGTCTTGATTGACAATAGCGCGGGTGCGAATACGTTTGGCCTGGTCCGCATAACGCAGAGTCGAGAGAGTCTCCTCGTAGTCCGACGGCGCGATACAGGCAACCATTGCCGTTTTACTGTTGCCTCCCAAAGAGTCCTTCAATAGCCACGTTAGGATCGAGTCTCTGTAAGGGACCACGTCCTTGCTCCGCTTTCTCGAGCCCGATTTGGCGTCCGCGAGCGCACCAATGACACGACCGAGAGTGGTCAGGGACTTGTTGATGTTGCTTCCCTCGCGGAGGCGCTGACCCGTCGCCTCTGTCGCTTTGGCGCGCTCACTGCCAGCCAGATCGACCAGTCGAATACGCGAGCTCCGTTCGGTCGTCTCGTCCGTCTCCATGTCATGGTGGATCTGCTTGAGCATAATGGTGAAGACGGCGTGACTACGACTACTGGTGTCGTTCATCCTGGTGCTGGCCACGGTTCTTGATCTATCTCCCGCAGTCATGTATCGCAAGATCTCGTTAAGATTGCGCACCGGCACCTCGGTCAGGTCCTTGATGTATGGCCCATCCGTTGGCGACTCTCTGATCTTGAGATAGTACGGCGGCTGGTTGGGCACGACAGGCACGAGAAGGTCGCGCACGTGCTCGTTGTAGACCTCAAAGTACGATACTCTGACGTTGTAGGAGATGTTGGGTGTTTCGTTCTGCGCGGCCTCGATTCGCTCGAAGAGATCCTCGCACGTTCGAGGAATCAAGCCCGGCTGGTCTGGTGTGCCCATCATCGTGTAACTCTTGCCTGAACCCGTCTGGCCGTAGGCAAAGATGCAAGTGTGGTAGCCCTCAAAGTTGTGGTCGAGGAACTCCTCGCCCAAGCTGTTGTAGACGTCCGACTGGTGCGCATAGTGTTTGTCGTTGAGATCGTGACTCCAGAACGAGCTATCAAAGGTGAACGTCTTTTCTTCAATAATCTTCCTCGACTTCGCCTTGGCGTTCGCTGGGTCGCTGTCGTTCGGCACCAGCAGCGTCGTCTGCTGGGTGACGGGGTCCATCTCCACCAGGCACTCAGCGCCGCGTTCAATCTCTATGCGCATCTGTCAGTCTACATCTCGTTTCACGTCGTATGGGTACTCGTACCTCTGGGCAGAAACGCCCGAACTCGGACGACGACCCGGACATTGCCCCCGTCCATCTTGACGGGCGCATCGTGCGACCGCAAGGACGGGGTGGAGGCAGACGAGTGAAGCTGAGGCATCTCGAAAACCGCCGAGGGCATCAATCGAGGGTCGAGAGAGAGTCCACGCAAGGTGGTGGTAATTTCATCGAGAATCGCGCGGTAACGTTGACGATGTGTCGCCCACATCCCAAGACGAGGCGGTCGGGCTTGTTTACTTTGTTGCCCAATTGGGAGGTAACGTGGTGGGGCCGAGTTGCCGGGGCAGTGGCGCCACACTTGCTGTGTTTGTGCGCCTAAGCTGACACCCCTGCTGGCTGGCGACTGCTCTGCTTCAGGTTTCCAGTTGATGAGGCAAAAGAAAGGTGTTTCTAATTGCACAGAAAGGATGCATGGAAGGATGTTCGTGTTTGAAGGTCGATGTGCCGGAAAAGAATGACAGCTGTGTGTCGACGCAAAGTTGAAAGAGGCGGTTGTCACTGTGCTCTGCCGAGTAAACAATCGTGGCTTCAGGTGCACGCGCAAACGAAAATGTCTAAACGTTCTATGCTTCTAGTGATGGTGTCAAAGTAACTAACGCCTTGCGCCACGCCGTCCAATCTTGCCCTGGTCTCTTGCGATCGTCTTGGCCCTGCCTAGCAGCTCTGGTGTCTTCCTTTGCCGGCCTAATTCCATTCCACAACCCGCTGCTCACCTCTGCGTTGCTTATTCTACCAAAGGGGCTTTCATCGTCTTACGGCCGTCTCAGCCCCTTTCCAAGAAGCTCACTTCCCACCTCTGAGATCATTTTCTCGTTAGGAAACTGCTTCTTCTTGGCGAGAACCGCATCTTCTGCGTCCATCGTCCTGAGCAAATCAGACACCTCACTGTCTGATGGCGTGCAATAGACCAGGTTGCCCAGAGCAAGCAACATGCCCTGCAAGGCCTCTGGCGACTTTTCTTCCTGGCCTATGGCCTCCAATACTGACGCTGCCAGCTCCACGGAGTCGCCTTCGGGTAAAACGTCGCCTGTCTTCTCTCGTCTTGCTTTGTTGCTAGCTAATGCCAGGTTGAACATCAAGGAGGATGCAGAAACACGGATGTTATTGTGACTGTCGTCCAGAAAGCTCGAAGATATCAACTGAATGATTGGCGCTCTGAGACCCTCGTTGCGAAGGATCTCTTCGGGGTAGAGTGGCGTGGAAAAAAAGTTGCACGCCATCTGCAGCGTCACAAGACGCAATGCGTAAGGGCAGTCGCTGTGAGAGTTGACAAAGTTCAAAATGGCTAGGACTGTCTGGTGATCCTTCTCCTCGGCAAAGTAGCCGCTGAATCTTGCGTCGACTAGAGCGCATCTGAGAAGATCAACCACGGGGAAGAGTACCTCAGTCGGCAGTGAATGAATGGACTGCCTCAGGAACTCTGCAAACTGGCTCAGATTTGGCAGAGTCGCAGCTGCCGGGCCTTGCTTTTCACGGGCTTCAATGAATTGTTTGACTCCTTGCACAGCAGGATCCGTTGCTGTTGCTCCCATCTTTGCGAGTAGCTTCTCCAAAGGTGGTACTTTGGAGTAAAGCACTGGCCGCCCATTCGGGTTGGAAAAGCTCGGTAGGTTTAGGGACTCGTGGGGATGACGGGGGAAAACCATTTGCAACAAGAGTTGGATGTTGCCCCGAAGCGCAGCCGGGTCTGCCCCTGCCCACTCATTCTCCTTCTCTCCGTGCAGGTAAGTGACAAAAGTCGGCGTCGCTCGTGGGTAGTTCTTATCCGGCAAAGGAGTAAGCTGGGCTACGTCAACCTTGATGAAAACTGCCTTGTTACCGGCTTCCGCTGAGAGCTCGTCAAAGGTTGGGGCGATGGCCCTGCAAGGAGGACATGTTGCCGAGGTGAAGAGGACAACCGCACAGGTCTTCTTTGCAGACTCGAGAGCAGCGTCGAGCTCCTGCGAACTGTTGACTACCCTGACGTTGGCTTGGGGCCTGGTTGGTTGCGGTGCTGAGCTGTGTCCATTGGCGGTGTTGCCATTCTGAATGCCAAGAATCGAACCGTTTTGCCTGTTTGAAGTCATGGCCTGGGTCAGTTGGGGCATGAGCATTCTCCCAAACGGCGAGCTGAGAACGGCATCCGGCATTTTGATAATGTGCTCGGGGATGCCTTTTCCAAGCAGAAACTGGGCGAAGGAATCCGAGAAGTTGTTGCAGTTGTGCCTCCACAAGTCATAGGCCTGTGGACGAGTTAGAGGGATTTTGCATCTGGTTTCCGCGCTGCGCACTTGCCTCAATTGTAAATATTGGCCTGAGAGAGTCCAGGAACTCTTCAATCACCTCCATTGGCAGTTCTGTGCGGCCAAGGAAAATTCGTTCCATCGGCTGGCCCAGGTGAGAGGTCCCTGGAGTGATGTCGACGATGCCGCCATCGTAAACGTATTCTCGACCATTGAGCTGGATTGAGGTGTGGTAGATTGCATCAAGGTGGAATCCTAGCATGCCCTGGGACATTTGCCGGGCAAGTCCTCTGGACAGGTCGTACGTCAAGAGATGCACGTCCATGTCGGTGATAGGTGCAAGTCAAAAGCAAGGGGCAACTGTGTCTTGGTAGATACGAAGTGGAAGGAGGCTAGGCCGTTGGTAGAGCTGAGGAAAATCGAGTTGATGGGAATCAGACAGTTGCCGCACAATCTAGAGAGCTGGCCTTGCGATAAAACCTTTTGATGCTCAATATACCCTCTTGTAACGGGAGGCAACAGAGCATTCGTAGTCATGAACGAGAAGCTTCCAAGACTCAGCGTCGGATCCGGTGAGACGGGCGCCACGTGTGGCTTGACCAGATGTCCTCGGCATCTTATCGCACGTCCAATGAAAGTGCTTACCTAACAGCGTTCAACCCTCCCCATGCCATGAATGGAGACAACAGGCCCCGGCGGAGTTTATCAGTGGGAGACGATGGAAGTCGGGGGGCGAGGAGGTGGCACAGGGCAATTAGGGGCACCTCAGCAGGGAATGATAGGCCCCACCCCCTGAGCGCGGAGCCATTAAGAGTGACGCGAGATGGTCGTTGCAGCACTTTAGTGGCTTCGCGTCGTCCCCGCTGCCGCACCCAAGATTAGCAAACTGTCAGATTTAGCAGGGATTCTCTTGATTTTTTGATGACTTCCAAGCAAACCACACCTAACGAAAATCTGCTCGAGGCCACAGTACGGAGTACCGACTGCGAGAGGAGTACCGACGTACTTTTTAGCTACCTAGGTAATTTGCTATCTTGCATCCATCCCCCCTTGAAGCCCCCTACATATACGAAACTTCGTACTCGACACATCCATCTTCGTCCATCTGTTGGTGTTGTACGACCGTCCGCTCATTTTTCCTTCGGCCGCACGCACCTGCTGCTTTTTGCCTTCGAGTCGCCGTGCTCCCTTCGACATCGGTCTACGGTTTGGTTCAGTCCACTCCTTTGTCCTCCTACACAACGGCGACGTGCCTCGCATGCGTCCCCTTGTGTTCCCCTAAGCCACCCTTCTTGCCTCCGACGACACGCGACCAATGCGAAGAACATCTGTGTCGCTGCCGACCAAGCAACCCGCCCGAGATCCTCACGAGAAACCCGGTCGATTTGCACCTGCTCGAAAAACTGGTCTGTTTGCCAGCTTAGGAGATATGTCCCAAGCACAGAAGACCCGCTGGATGCGGACGGGCGCCATCGCCTTCTTCGTCGTCTTTCTCTTCTGGTACCTGTCTCCTAGAGGAGTCAATGTTCGCAGTCCTGGAGGTGCGCGATGCTTAAACTCCTGCGATAGAGCGATGCTAACACCTATCTTGCAGTCTCGACCGGTGGCGGTGGCCAAGTCCCGGCTGATGCCTCTTACGGCACTGAAAAGTGCTCTGTCTCCAGCTCCAAGTCGAAGCCCATTGTCCAATATGTCCTGATGATCGACGCCGGCAGCACGGGATCCCGAATCCACGTCTACAAGTTCAACAACTGCGGCGCCACTCCCGAGCTCGAGCATGAGGAGTTCAAGATGACTGAGAAGTCTGTCGGCGGCCTGAGCAAGTATAAGGATGATCCCGAGGCCGCGGCCAAGACTCTCGATGCCTTGATGGAGGTTGCCATGCAGACCGTCCCCGACAAGCTCAAGTCCTGCAGCCCTGTCGCAGTGAAGGCGACTGCTGGTCTCCGTATGGTCGGCCCTGAGAACGCTCAAAAGATTCTCGACACCGTTCGCAACCACCTCGAGACCAATTACCCCTTCCCCGTTGTTGGAAAAGAGGACAACGGTGTTGCCATCATGGATGGTGCCGATGAGGGTGTCTACGCCTGGATCACCACCAACTACCTTCTGGGCAAGATTGGCGGTCCCGACAAGAGCCCCACCGCTGCCGTCTTCGATCTCGGCGGTGGCTCGACTCAGATTGTGTTCGAGCCCACCTTTAAGGGAGCGCCGGAGGGCGGTATGCCCGAGAAGCTTGCTGAGGGCGACCACAAGTACGACCTCAAGTTCGGCGGACAGCAGTTCGAGCTGTACCAGCACTCCCATCTTGGATACGGCCTGATGAGCGCCCGTAAGGCCGTTCACAAGACCTTGGTCAACGAGATGTTTGAGAGCAAGAAGACCGATGACAGCTGGGTGAAGCAGCCCATTGTTCACCCCTGCATTGCTCCCGGCATGGTCAAGGAGGTTGAGGTTGAGCTGGACGAGGGACACCCTCTTGGAAAGGCCGTCACCTTCAACTTCACCGGTCCTTCCCAAGCCGCCCCCGCGCAGTGCCGCAACCTCGCCGAGAAGATCCTCAAGAAGGAAGAGTCCTGCAAGCTCGCTCCTTGCTCCTTCAACGGCGTCCACCAGCCTACCCTTGCCAAGACCTTCGCTCGCGAGGATGTCTACATTTTCTCCTACTTCTACGACCGCACCAAGCCTCTCGGTATGCCTGACTCTTTTACTCTTCGCGAGATGCACGATCTGGCCAACTCCGTTTGTGGCGGCGAGAAGGCCTGGGATGTGTTCTCCAGCGTCCCTGGCGCTCTCAAGGAGCTCCAGGACCGCCCCGAGCACTGCCTCGACCTCAACTTCATGATGGCCCTCCTCCACACTGGCTACGAGATGCCCATTGACCGTGAGGTCAAGATCGCCAAGAAGATCAAGGGCAACGAATTGGGTTGGTGCCTTGGTGCTAGGTAAGTGACTTCTATCTACAAGTAACAGGCATTGCAGACGCTAATACTTTATTTTATAGCTTGCCCCTCCTTTCTCCCGGCTCAGGCTGGAAGTGCAGAGTTGATCAGGTCAACTAAAGCCTCAAATTCTCGCACAACAGGACTGCACAAGCCTCCCCTGGTGTTGGCTGGCTTGTAGCATTATAGATTTTTAATTCCACGACAGAACCGGGAATGTTCGATTACGAGTTGTACAGGAGTGTCATGAAGGTCATATGGCGGGTGCAGGAACATGCATCAATACACAGACCCAAAAGGCGGGCGTTTCATGTCTTGTATGGTTTCCATGGGCATTAAGGATTACAGGCTTGTTCGGACGTGACCACTTTAGAATAAAGTCGCTCACTGGATATCTTTTAAGCTTCCATCAAAGCGGTGCCGCAACCATGCCCAGCACGTCCTCAATCACGTCCTCGGGGCCCACGCCTTCGAGAATGGATTCAATGGCTTCCAGCTGGCTTCCCCACTGCATACTGCGTTCCTGTCGCGGATGCGCTATGCGTATTCGGTGCAAGTAGACTTTCCTAACGGCCAGATGAACCAATGCGGGTGTGACAAAATCGAGCCGGTGTAGCGGAGCCAGGCATTTAAGCAACTGCTCCAAGTGCTTCGTCGCGGTTGGCTCGATGCCGCCGGCAACTGCGCGATGCATTCGTAGGTATGAGACTACATTCATTAGGTAGCGCAAGACATCAACATCGATCTGGACATCTCGACTGCTCTTGGCGATGGCCGCAACATCCTGCAGCCGTCAGCATATGCCCAGGCACTTTGCACACGTAGAAACTTACGCCTTCACGGAAAAGAGGGTTTTCGCTGACTGCGGGCAAATCACCGTTGATGCTTTTCTTGAGCACGCTCTCGGTACTCGCCGTCTCGGCCCCATCAGCAGCGTCGTAGGCGTCGTCGAGATTGGGGAAACCGTCGTCCGGATCATGCCAGTGAGCAATGAAGAGGTAGTCGTTCAGGTGAAGCGTGACGTGAGCCTGACCACCGCTTTCGGCGCCCAGGGCGGCGATGAACAGAAACTGCTTCGGGGCCGTCTGGACGGAAGTGCGTGTGAAGATACGGCGGGTGCGGAGGAGCTCAAGAACCTGGATCTGAACGGCTCTTGGGGCGCGGTCAAGGTTCTGAGCTACAATCACATTGGCGATGGAGGAGCCACCGATGCCCTGGCCGGTCGGGCTGGTTGCCGTGACGGAGGTCAGGGGGGAGATACCTGCGCGAGAAAAGTAGGAATCATTGCGGGTTCGTAAAGGCGAGCCTGATCTGGGTGCTGCTAGAGACTGCTGCGTGAGGATCGACGATGCAAAGTCCTCCAGTGAGGTTTGCGGAGTACAATCCACTACGGCGCATTTCAGACCGAAGGTCTTTGTTGCGATCTAAAACCAGTGTGAGATGTGGACCTCGTGAGTGGGAGAGAGATGGATGGTTGGGCTCACCAGCTGTAGCTCCTCGACAAGCTCGTCGAGGGCAGCGGGAGGCGTGCTGACGATGCAGTGTTCTCGATTGACCAGGCACAGCAGGGCGGCCAGCTCCAAGTCGCTCAGGCCGTGGACCTTGTCCAGGAGGCCGTCTTCATCCGCCATCAGGATCTCGTTAAGTGTTGGTCGACAGTCCCATCAGCTCATCCTGGGCCACGCATATACTTGGTACACTTGCGGAGTGCTCGTCCACGATATACATGTGGTGTGAGGCGGTGACGGACGTTCTTCGCAAGTCGCTAAGACGTCCCGGAGCTACTAAAGGGAAGCCCAGTCGCATGGACCGTCACTGAGAACCATGATAAAGGTGTGGCGTAGGCGTCATGCGGCCCGGCTAGGTGCCTTACCTAAGCGCCGTGCCCAAGTCATTCAATGCACCTTACCGGCCAACCACCTGGGCAGCCAACAGTGAGTGTCACAGCATGTCTAGGCGGGCTCCAGCGCCTTGGAGCACCGTCACTTGGCGTTCCTCCAGGTGCCTGCCCGTCATTTACGTCAGCCAGCTGGCACATCAACAGCACCATGTGCTCCTTTTCCTGGTTAGACCCAGTCCCCCAAGCAGCTCTTTGATAGGCTGAAACCTGCAAATGTGACGGGAGCTCTCAGTACCGCCTGCTTCCCTGTCAACCTCCACCATCACTTCCGTCTATCGATCATCGACCTGCACTCTACACCAACCAACCACCCCTGACGCACGACACCGATCCGTTTTCGACCACTTCGACATTTGAACCGATTCCTGACCCAGTCGCGACGCAGGATACAACTACCATCGCGCATCCGAAGGCCCGCCGACGCCCGACTTTGCCATTTACCATACATAGCGGACCCGACGCACCAGATCCACGATGTCATCGAGAAAGAAGGTCCTTCTCAAGGTGGGCTTTATCGGCGGCCCCAAATACACGTGCGGCATAATTGATCGTTTCTGTGTTGCAGGTCATTATCCTTGGCGATAGCGGTGTCGGCAAGACGAGTTTGATGAACCAATATGTATGTTTTCTTGCTGCGCTGTCTGGCGGCCCGACCGGTGGTAGCCTAGAGTACTGATTTGGCTATTTCTACCTTTTAGGTCAACAAGAAGTTTAGTGCAAGCTACAAGGCCACGATCGGCGCCGACTTCCTGACCCGCGAGGTCCTCGTCGATGACCGGCAGGTGACGATGCAGGTGGGTAACGCCGCGAACACGTCGCCGATGGAAATAACGAACGCGTTGCTGACGGACGATAGCTCTGGGACACTGCGGGACAGGAGCGCTTCCAGTCGCTGGGTGTCGCCTTCTACCGCGGAGCTGACTGCTGCGTGCTCGTCTACGACGTCAACAACTCCAAGAGCTTCGATGCTCTGGACAGCTGGAGGGACGAGTTCCTGATCCAGGCTTCTCCCCGTGACCCCGACAACTTTCCATTCGTCAGTATCTTGAAGTGCTAGAGGGATAGGACATGGACGCTGATAAGAGATTAGGTCGTCCTTGGAAACAAGATTGATGTTGAGGAGAGCAAGAGAGTTGTAAGTTTTGGTGTCACCTGCGGCTACCTGACGACAAAGCTTACCATTTGATTAGATCTCGACCAAGCGTGCGATGACCTTCTGCCAGTCTAAGGGCGGGATTCCCTACTTCGAGACCAGTGCGAAGGAGGCTATCAACGTCGAGCAGGCTTTTGAAGGTTGGTTGCCTCTTGCCAAGGTGAACTCTTAGAGATGCTAACATTGCTCACCAGTCATTGCACGAAATGCTCTTGCTCAGGAGGAGTCGGAAGAGTTCAGCGGGGATTACCAGGATGTCATCAACATTCCCATTGAGAACCCCCGGGACGGCTGCGCCTGCTAAGCAGATTCTTGGTTGAGCAGACGGCCGACGTTGAGCGAGCAGAGCATCCGGGCGGAACACATTTATGGGACCCGTTGTACTCGCATTCATGTTTAGTCCACGGCCCTTCACATATCCATCTTGGCCGTTGGTTTGATGTAGCATATCATGCACTGGTGTGAATGGTGTTTAGAGGTTTCTTTTTTAGTTTGAATTCACGGGATTATTCGTAGGATACCAAAGATTGCACAACTTGCCTTTAGTTGAAGTCCCATGACGTCTTGCCCATTAATGACATGCTGAGCCGATTCGGTGATTGATGCCACAGTTCCGGCCTACACGGACGGCCGACACCTTAGTTCAAGAGATTTTGTCCAAGAAACGCCGGCCCGAGCTGACGGATCATGCTGCCGTTTCTCAGCAGACTCCGCTCAGAAGACTGGAGCCATCGCTGCGACTAAATGTAAAAGTTGGTGAGCCGGCACCAAATCCGACCTGGCGCCGGCTGCAGATTGCGCGGCGCCGTTCTTGGCTTTGTTCAGCGGCAGCAAGCCCGTCAGCCCAGCAACTCAGTAAGATGCCTGGTGTTTGGTAAACAGGCGTAAGAAAGTTGTTCGCAGGGCCATATTTGAAGTAAAGAACGCGGAGGGAGGCTGAGACGTAGTGGCACGCGATCGCCCTATCGTCTATTGGTCGCCGGTATTTGGGACGAATACAGGGGCTACTGTCCGTGCAGTTGAAACTCTCCAACCTTGAAGAAACAACCCTTTGAACAACAACTGACACGAATCCCTTAAAATAAACCCACGTCGTCGGATATTTGGACGACGCGCGCGACCCCGACGGAGCTCGTCGGCTTACCTTGTGGACTCCAGTGTCGCACGCGGTCCAGCGACTTGTTTCCCGAAGCAACTGCCAACGTTGTCTACTTCGCCATTGGGGAGGACCCAAGACACACAAACCCGGAAGCAGTCAAGTCAACAGAACGGCATAATCGTGCCGACTGCATGCGCCGAGTCACCGACGACGGGACCAACGCCCGATATTGAACAAGCTTAATTCTGCGATTCACAATTCGATTTTGTCGTGGTCAAATGCCTGCGCCCCAGACCAGATTAGACTGCAAGACGGCCGACGATCCCTCCTGATCTCCTCCCTCTCTTCCTTACGATCGCGAAACCGCCCTTCCCCCGACCGACGAGATGGCGCCCAGCGAGCCTATGTTGCCCGCTGCGATAGCGCCCGATCATGCACGAGATACCCGGAGATCATTCTCCAGCGCGGACCGGATGAGCCAATCCGTCGCGTCTACGAATAGGTCGAGGTCGACAGTGCGGTCCTCAGGATTGCAGGCGAAATTGGGACTGGCAGGCGTTGCAAGACGGACGTTGGGTATTTCATTACTGTTGGTAACGGTGTTATTATGGACGATATCCAACTTTCTTGCATCGGTGAGGCTTCCTTTCCTCCCTTGCAATCTTTGGCGGTGAGCATCTGGCTGACGGCTGACTTCTGACAGTACATCTTTTCGGACCATTCCTACGACAAACCCTTCTTCGTGGTGTATATGAACACTTCGGTCTTTGCAGTCTCCCTAGTACCTATGCTGGTCAAGTTCGTCATGCGTCACGGCATCGAGGGCCTGCGGCGCGAGGCGATGGTGGTATGGAACGAGCATAAACACGGTAAGGGAGGCCTTAAGGCGGAGGGAGACGAAGAGGACGCGGTGGCGGGCGAGCGGCTGCTGGTCGACGACGAGCCGAGCCTGGAGGCGGAAGGTTACGAGCCTAAGGTCGAGCGCATGAGCTTCCGGGAGACGGCCATCATCAGCCTCGAGTTCTGCATGCTGTGGTTCTTTGCGAACTACCTGGCATCCGCGTGCCTGGAGTACACGAGCGTAGGGAGCGTCACTATTCTGAACTCCACGAGCAGTGTCTGGACTCTCGTGTTCTGTGCGCTGATGCGGGTGGAGGGATTCACAATTCGCAAGTTCATTGGAGTGTTGGCGTCGTTGACGGGCATTGTCCTCATCTCGACCGTGGACCTCTCCGGCTCGAGTGACGAGAACCGCGGGTCGTTCCCGCACAAGACGACGTCGCAGATTGCGATTGGCGACTCCATGGCTTTTGTTAGCGCCATCATCTATGGCCTCTACGTCACCGTCATGAAGGTGAGGGTCGGTAACGAGGATAGGGTCAACATGCCGCTCTTCTTTGGCTTGGTGGGCCTATTCAACTTGGTGTTCCTGTGGCCGGTGTTCTTCATCCTGCACTTCACCGGCATGGAACCGGTACGTGCCCCGTCTAACCGAATATCTACGCAGTTCTGACAGTGTCACAGTTTCAACTTCCGCCGACAGGCAAAATCTGGGCCATTGTCATTGGCAACTCTCTGTCTTCCTTCATCAGCGACATGTCGTGGGCGTATGCCATGCTGCTCACTACGCCTTTGGTGGTGACGGTTGGTCTGTCTCTGACGATTCCTTTGTCGCTCATCGGCGAGATGATCCAGTACTCGCAATACTCCAGCTGGGTATACTGGGTTGGTGCGGCAGTCGTTCTCATCTCCTTCTTATTCATCAATCACGAGAGCAAAGAAGACGAGTCGGGTGATAAGGGCCCCCAGGCAGGATCCAGGGGGGCACAGTTATAGAAATATTTGTCAATGCTAATTAGGAGGCACGAGCAAGGCCGCCGTGTAGAGCCCTAGGCGGCACCACTATGCATAGACAAGGCGTTAGGCGGGCGTATGCCAGGATCAGGTTACCTCCTGGAACGCTGATACGAGCACGATACCAAGTATCTGCTCTTTTTGGTTGATAATTCAATTACTTTGCATCGCGTATGTTCCATAAGGACTGTCAGGTGAGCCGGATCGAAAGTGAGCGGCACATTTAAGCAGCTTGGCACTCCCAGCTACACGCTTGTCTTGCTGCAATCCGTCTTGGCATCCACTAATACCACGCAGCGCGCCATCCAACGGAAGACTCGGGGGAGCTTCACACGATGAGCAGTGGGCATCTGCAAGTCGCGCAGCGGGGAGAACACGAGGAGCGCTTCGGGTCATTGGCTGCCCGAGGGCGAGCGAGATTATTGACACACCAGTTGGTACAGGAAGGAGAAGAGGGCACAGCCGAGGGCGGGACGGCCTGCATGAGACGGGATTTCTGAGAATTCCATGGTCCGGTTTTCCAAAAGACGATGTTTGCTCCTTTCGGGGTGTGATCGACAGGAAAGGAGCCGCGCAACCGGATTCGCCTCCCTTGGCCTGTGGTCCTCCGTGCTGGTGTTTTTTTTCTGTCGTCAACTCCACCAAAGGCGAAGGTTTGCTGGGCTCCCCCCTGCGCTGATAAAGTTGCGGGAACGCTGAAAGTATGTTGTGTTTAAGCCTTTCGAGTGTTATTTACGTGGTAGCACGGTTGTAACGGGGGCAGACAGATCTGTGCTGGTGACGATGGAGACTGCGCTGAAGGTCAGCGACCTTCTTGAGCACGGGCTTGAGAGGTTCCTTCTGGGGAAGTGCAGCTTGAAGATAGGACCGATCAGTGTGGACGATGCTGGGCAGAAGCAGTGGCTTGACAACCGTGGGTGATGGCCTGCCAAAAAGCCGATCGATGGGGGAGAGTCTTCCTTCTGCAGAGGGGGCGCTACTTTTAGGTGAGGTCTCGGGTCTCGTTTCTTCCTTGGGGCTGTCTCTCCCAGCTTCCAGGTTCTCTGGGCAAGCCACGCCACAGGGCCATTCTTTGCCCGCCGTGTCCAGCGTGTTTTGCTGTGTCTTCCAGTGCAGCGGCGCAGAGTCGCAGTGGCACAAAGTTCCAGAGAGGCCCAGGCCGATGGGAAAAAGTGGCCCTACGGGGCGAGACCGCGCACAATGGCACCTCTCAAGACCCCTGAACCTGAACTTGAACCTGAACATGTCGGGTCGGCCATCCGCTGTCGCTGTCACTTTCCAGGCCCCCCTCGCCATTCCCCCGCTCTCCTCTCTCAGTGTCCCCGTCCCCCTCTTCAAGGTTTCCCTGGGCGTGGATCCTCGTCAGTTTGCTCACTCACTCCACGCGCGCGCATGTTGTCGCCTCTTCCCAAATTTGTTCTTTTCTTTTCTGATCCTCAAGTCGTCGAATGGTCAGTGTGCGATCAGCAGTGAGTGATCGAGTTCGCCCCCCGAGCGGATCGGGGGCTCTCCAGAATGTGGCAGTGAAGTCGTTGGTCATGGACCCCGTCCCGTCTTTGGGAGCTGGTCTGAAGCGGGAGTGGCCCACGGGAGCTAAACTATGGCCGTAAAGAAAGTCGACGAGACCTTTGTGGCTCCGTCAACTTGGGAATAGCACTTCCGCCAGACAAGAGAGACATGAGCGCACTTTTGTTCCTCGACAAGCCAGCACAAACAAACATCTGAATCACCTCGACCGAAATCGCTGGATATTCTGCCCGCCCACGTCTGCTCCACGGTTTAGGCGCACAACTCAACGTGAGCGCAAGGTAGCCTCATGCTTCCTGCCATACCAGCGCTAGCTCCTTTTCCAACCCCGTTGGCCCTGTTCCTGTCCGGTTTCTTTTTGGGACACTATTTCTTTCCTCCCCTTGTCAAATACGCATGTGGAATATCCCGGTGTATTCCCCTGTAAACCCGGCGCAGAAACAGACGCCAGGCCGAGAGAGTCCTGGTCCCATCTCGCGCGCATCGCATCGGGCCCCGGGTGACCTTTCTCTACCTTAACCCCGAGAATCCAGAACCTCTCACTTTTGTTCTCTCTCTTGCTGCCTTCACTCTTTCCCTCACCCGTACTTTCTCTTGGCACCATCGCTGCCTCCTTTTCTCTGAGCTACCTACTTTCGTTTTTACTGGCCCGTCGGTCTCGAGCTTTTCCATGCCTTGGCGGGAGCGAACAAGACAAGAGGCAACCTGATCACTGGACCGCACCGTCTGCCAAGGATCGACGCTACGGCTGCCGCTTCCAGTTGGTTTCTCATCCACGTCTGTTCCCTTCGCTCCCTCTGTCTTGTTTTCTTGCATTACACCTCCAAGTCACCCAGAGCAGTAAGGAGCGGCGAGGACCAAGTCTTCTAGGACTACCATTGGCCTGCCTTTATCCAAAGCAAGCCACATCCTCTGTCGTTGAACCACCACAATACCAACCGCTCTCCTTCGATACCTACACCTCTTCGAAATCAAAACATTTGTTACTTTTCCTGGCAACAACCTGTCTTCCCGAGAAGATATTACCTGGCGTTGTAAGAGGACGACGTCGTACTTCTCGAGACCGATCTGCACACCTACAACCTACGCTACCAATCTGCAACCCACACGCTTCCTATAAGTTATCGTCCAACGCCGCAACTCCTCCACCGGGGGCTTTGTTACAAAAAAGCGCCACGGCGACGCCGTGATTATGGCTCCAACATCCGCGCCGCCGGCCGAAGAAATCCAACGTCCCCTGGCCGAGTCCATCGCCGCCGCAACTCGCTCCGTCCACGCGAAGCTTAACAAGCTGATCATCGCCCGCCTTCCGCTGGCGATCCCTCCCCTTTCTGCCGACCCCTCCATCTACGTGTCTGGCCTCCTTCATATTGCACCTATCTACATCGCTTTCGAATCAGTATGGAAAGACATTGTGGATTCCGTTCCGGTAGAGTCACGAGATGGAAGCAACGTGCTCGACGACTTACTTCGTGTTCCCCACGACCAACCCGGGTCGATACATAATGTCGACGCCACTAGAAACATGCGTTCGGTATTGAAGTCTCTTTACTTACCAGAGCTCATGCGTTCTGATCGGTTGCGGTCAGACATTGGCTTCCTGACTGGGTGGTTCCCTGAGATGGTAGACGAACAGCTGAAGACAGTCTCTAGCTCGGGGCGTCTCGCCGAGTTCACAAGGCATGCAAAGCGCACCATCGAGAAGAAGCCCCACACCGTGCTCTCGTACTCCTATATCCTGTTCATGGCACTATTCGCTGGTGGAAGGTTCATCAGGGCCACGCTCGAGTCTGCAGGCTCTGACTTTTGGGAGCAAGTGCCATCGCCGATTCCGCCTCTCGGAACGATTTGTCAACCACGGCAACCAAAGGAGATCGATCCACTTGGAGCCATTCCTACAAGACCTATTGATCTTTTGCGAGGCGAGCCTGGAACGCTGGAAATTGGGGCAAAGCATGCGCGGCACACGCTTCCACTGAGCTTCTTTCACTTCGCTACTGTTCTCGACGGGGAGGATCTCAAAAAGGAGTTTAAGAAACGCCTTGCAGAATCCGAGGCACAGTTTACGCCGCGGGAAAGGCACGACATCATTCAAGAGGCCATTTGCATCTTTGACAACATGCTGCTTCTCGTCAGCCAACTGGATAACGTGTGCGATACAAACTTGGATGATGTGGCTGGCATGGGTTCCTGGGCACCACTTGGCTCTGGTCACCGTCTGCGTGACAGCGTGGTGGTGGCCCGCGAGAGAAAAACGCAGGCATCTGAAAGAGAGTCGGGGGATGGCGAAAGGTCGAACACTTGGCTTTGCAAGCACGCAAGACAGCAAAAGTCCGAAATGGGAGAGATCTCTGGCGCAGGCAACTTGGAGGGCTATGCGCCAGCCGGTTGTCCAGCGTCTGGATCTATGAAGTTCGATGCGAAGCTACCGATTCCTGACAGGATAGGCACCGGCAATACGCCCTCGATATACGGTGCGGCTACTTCACAATTGCCCATGGCCAAATCTTTAACCGGCTCACGTTCGTCTACGGCTCTACTTTCTAACATTGTTCTTGTGGCGGTACTAGCGACGATTGTGGGCATATATTTCTTTGCTACGAGACCTGTAGATAAGGGCTTACCGGTGGAGGGTGATGAGATGGCACTATGACGATGCATTGCATGACGAGCTTGGCGTTCAGGAGCGTTTTTATTCAGGATGCCACATGGGATAGATATACGATACCCCCTAGTTGCTTTCTGGAGTTTTGGTCTGGCGGGTTTTCGTCAGACATGTGTGAACGGCAGATGGGTAGAGCAGATCCAGATAGTCAGGCGCCAGATGAGCACCGGTGACGAATCAAGTATCCTCATGTCCTACGTATTCGCGTATTTCGTAGAGCGTATACATCATCTCACCACACACGACTTCCAAGACACCGGGGTATTTGAAGAAGTCTCGTTCATTAGCCAGCAAGCACCCTAGGTGGACAAGTGGCCCAGCGGTCAGGACAAGCGCGATGGGCGGCGCCCTGGTGACTACGGTCCTCCCGTGGGAGCTTGAGGGTTCGAGTTGATCCTTTTGCCGTTCTCGTTTTCTGTAACACTTCTTTTTTTTTTTTCCCTCTCGGAATCTTCTTCTTCGTTTCTTTGAATTGGTGTCATAAACACGCCCCTATCTATCCCCGACAACAGCAACATCGAGCGACACCTTCCGTGAGAAGTCTGCTCACTACCCATCACGCACATCACCTCACAGTCAACCACAGATTATAATGACGTTGTCTCATTATAATTGCCAACGAGGCCACCAAGTCGTCTACCGAAGAAATAAAAGACAAACAGAACCAAAGGTATCTCTAGTGTACTCCTAATGCCAATGCCGATGCCAGTGCCAAACCTGCGGTGTCCTGAAATGCACCAAATAAAAAACACACGCAATGTGTGTACAAAAGCCAGAAAACTTTTCCTCTCCTCTCGTGGCGTGGTGAGTAACCCATCATCCATCCATCCTTCTTCGTAAGTGTCATAAGTCAAAAGGGTCAAGCACGCCGCTCGCTCAGCATTCAGAATGCATGTCATCGTCCATGTCCCAGTCCTCCGAGACGTCGGCATACCCAGACATGTGTCGTCTTCCTCCAAACTCCCCGCCCGTGCGGAGGTCCCACGCCGAACCGCACCCGTTGGCGGCGTCGACGCTGTTGTCGTCGCCCTCTTGCCAGTGCCGCGCCATGTAGTCGTCCGAGATGGTGACGAGCTTGCCCTCGTTGGTCCAGCTCAGCCCCGTGACTTCACGGCGGTGACCGCGGATCAGGGGCGTGCCGTTTCTGACGATGGGCACCTGGCCGGTCGTCGCTTTGGAGTTGCCGCCGGCGGCGGCGGTTGTGGGCTCGGCAGCGGCCGGGAGGTGACTTTGAGTGTCCCAGTGCTCTCTCATCGCACGCTCGTCGGTCGGGAAGAGGAGGGCGCACTTATCGCTTCCGACAGCCAGGAGTTCAGTACCGGTGATAGAGACGGGGCGGACGGCGCAGCGCACGTAGAACGACTTGACGTGGAACATGTCGTGCTTGAAGCCGTACAGGGGCCCGAGACCTTGCGCGGCTGTGCCGGCCTTTTGACGCGGAGGACGGTCGGAGAGTTCTGGAGCGTGGCCGAGCATGAGGTGGGAGGTGGAGTAGGCGTAGACGGTGTTGTCCTTGCAGACGGCGTATAAGCGGGCGGCGTCGCTGCTGAGGGCGAGCGAGGTGAGGCCGTAGGGGCGCCATCGGTGGGTTGCGGGCTCGGCAGTCACCGCCAGGGGAGTTGCGTCGGGGCGGTTCCGGGGTGTGATGTAGCGGGTGTCCCATAGCTTGATGCAGGCGTTTGCTTCGGAGGCGGACAGGAGGAGGTGCTCGCGGCCCGGGGGCATGTACTGCAGGGCCGTGACTGACGCGGGCGACGTGATACCCTCGACGGTTCGGGCGTGGGCGCCGTCGATGGTGTTCGTTGTTCGCGCCCAGAGGGGCGAGAGGCTGCGATTCCTGTGGAAGACGCCTTCCGGGCCGCGGGTGGAGAAGGCGGCGGCCGGGGCGGCGCAACAGCGGAGGTCCCAGATTTGAATCTTGCCGTCTCGGTCGGACGTTGCTATTACGCTTCCATTCGCCCTCCCTGGTTGGAACTCGACGCGGCGCATTGACTGGAAATGACCACCGTTGAGCTCGGCGGCGACGGACTGGGTCATGACGTCGAAGATCTTGCCGGAGCGGTCGCCACAGGCGCTCACGAGGCGGAGGTCATCATCTGAGAAGGCGAGGTCCATAATGGCATTTTCATGGCCCTGCATGATGATGTCGACCTTGGCTTTGGGGGCCTCTCCTGCTTGAGTTGTGGTGGTGTCGAAGAAACGGATGAAACCCTCCTCATCGCCGATTGCTGTAAGAGGGGCATCTGCAAAAGTTAGACTCGTTGCATTCGAGATAAATGAGGGAGGCTTACTGTGACAGCTCGCCAGACTGAAAGGAATAGTATTCGATTGAGTCAGATGCGCGTTGATCATGTGTGTATCGGTACCCTTGCTCCAGAAAGATGCAGTTGTAGCTCGTGAATCTGGGTATGATTAGAAAAGGAAACCAGGAAGCCTAGAAGAAACTCACCAAATGCAGGATACTCGAGATGTTGCCGACCTGGCCGGGGGGTGCTCCCCTGTTCGCGAAGCAGCAGTTGAGCCTCGAATCCGCGATTGCGAAGTTTGATCACAGGCTGTGGGCGATATGGCGGTTCAGGCTGCGGTCGATCAGCTCTTGGCTCTCATGTCGCCAGTGTGATTCAACTTACAGATTTCTCCTTGGAAGGATGAAGGGGCTTTGTAAGAGACGACAGCGGCTTTCCTTTTCCAGACGCCTGGACACCCGCGCGGTTGCACTTGAAATAATCAATCTGATCAAAGTCAGCAATTGCAATCTCTAAGAAACAGCGTTAAACGCACCAGGGTAGACCTTGGCCTCAGACCCTCGTATGCCGCAGTCGCAAAGTTGCTGGCAGTCAAGGAGCTGAGCTTCCGCGCAAACTCATCCGGTGATGTCTGCGGTCCAGTCGGATATTTTCTTCCCAAGGGCGGCAGCTCAGGGCCAGTGGGAGAGTGCACATCAGGCGAACCAATCGCCTGGTCCTCCACGTTCTCAACATTCTCCAACAGTGACCTCGCGAGAGGACTTCTACCAAGGGGCGCCTCATCGTCCTCCAAATCCTCCAATTGTGTTCTTGACAGTTTCGTACTCGATCCGCGGGCCGGCAGCGGCAACTTCATGGGAATCGCATGAACAACGCCCCTCTTCCTCTTTTTTGGCCCGTCCTCGCTACCAAAAGCCGACAGCAGGCTCGAAGTCGATGTCGGTGAAATCGGTTCCGGAGCTCCCAGACTGGATCGTGGTGGCGTCTGCTGTGCGTTAATCGCAGGCCCGCCCATCTCGGCGAGGACCGGCCTCGAGCTCTGAGAGGACATGCCGCGCGGTGTGAAGAACCGCGTGAACTTCCGAGGCGTCAGGATGGCCTTGCGTTTTTCCTTTCGAACGTTTCGCGGGGGTGGTGATGAGGGGAGCGTGGGCGAGGAGGCGGGGACGAGGCCATCGCTCGGCGGCGGGCTGGCCATGCCGCCGTGGTAAACCATGACGAATGTGGATTTATTAGGCTTTTCGTGTAAGTCGTCGGTATACGTTTAAAGTAAACAAACAACGGACAAAAAAGAGAGTGTTTCCAGCGTAAAGTCTGTCGTTCAGAGTCTAGGGAAGAAAGCTTCAATCGTGGGATTGACTGCGTGCTGGGGTGGTGAATGGCAGGGCCTGAAGGATGGGGCGGAGGAGGCGAGCTCGTGTCTGACGTCGGGTCTTTACCAGATTCAACCACCAAAAATGTACCCTCAACGCGCGATGGTGTCGCGCGCGCGCGTGTCGACGCGGAAGACCCACCCCTGGCCGGGGTTCCTGTTTAATTGATTTTTGGGTGGTTTCCCACTCCGGATTCGCGGGTCCAATCAGACGAGAAGGGCCCGCATGTCAAAGCTCCAGGCCAGGGAAGACCCACCTCGCTCGCATTATCTCCACGTGACCGTTATCGGGTCTCAAAAATTTCGAGAATTTTTGGCCATTCAGGCGGCGGGGGCCTTTTTTTCAAGGGTCGGTTTCTTCACTGCAGAGCGAAGCGGACGGACGGTACGCCCAAAAGTTTGGATTTCTCTCGAGTTCCGCCGTCGCCGCCGCCCCGTTCGACAAGATGGCGATCCAGAAGAAGCACGGAAAAGGACGTTTGGATAAGTGGTACAAGCTTGCCAAGGAGAAGGGATACCGTGCCAGAGCTGCGTTCAAGCTGATCCAGCTGAACAAGAAGTATGGCTTCTTGGAGAAGAGCAGGGTCGTTGTCGATCTTTGCGCTGCGCCAGGCGTAAGTTTGTTTTCGCAAGAAAAAACATGTTCCAATGTCATTGTTGCGTGCAGTATCTAACAATCGCATGTCTAGTCATGGTGTCAAGTCGCAGCCGAGACATGTCCCGTCGGCGCGTTGATCGTCGGTGTCGATTTAGCCCCCATTAAGCCGATCCCCAAGGTCATTACCTTCCAGAGCGATATCACCACCGAAAAATGCCGAGCCACGATCCGCTCGCACCTCAAGACCTGGAAGGCCGACTGTGTCCTCCACGATGGTGCGCCCAACGTCGGTACCGCTTGGAACCAGGACTCCTTCAACCAGGCCGAGCTGGTGTTGCAGTCCATGAAGCTGGCGACGGAGTTCCTGGTCGAGGGCGGCACGTTCGTGACCAAGGTCTTCCGCTCCAAGGACTACAACCCGCTGCTGTGGGTGTTCAACCAGCTCTTCACAAAGGTCGAGGCCACCAAGCCGCCGTCGTCGAGAAACGTGTCTGCCGAGATCTTCGTCGTCTGCAAGGGCTACAAGGCGCCCAAGCGCATCGACCCCCGGTTCCTCGACCCCCGCGCCGTCTTCGCCGAGCTGAAGGATGCGGCGCCGAACAACGAGGCCAAGGTTTACAACCCCGAGGTGAAGAAGCGCAAGCGTGAGGGTTACGAGGAGGGCGACTACACGCAGTTCAAGGCCGTCTCGGCCAGCGAGTTCATCCAGACGGTTGACCCGATTGCGATCCTCGGCAGCGCGAACCAGCTGTCGTTCGACCAGCCGAACAACGGCGACGTTGCGCTGGCGGCTCTGGACAAGCTCCCCGAGACCAACGAGGAGATCCGCAGGTGCTGCGCCGATTTGAAGGTTCTTGGAAGAAAAGAGTTCAAGATGCTGCTCAAGTGGCGTCTCAAGGTCCGCGAGATCTTTGGCTTCCCCACCAAGAAGACGGAGAAGGCCAAGTCTCTGCAGGAGCAGGTCGCTGGCGAGGAGGTGGCCGAGGTCGAGGACATGGACGAGGAGCTCCGGATCCAGGAGGAGCTGGAGGCGCTCAAGAACAAGGACGACTCCAAGAAGAGGAAGGAGAGGAGGAAAGAGAACGAGAAGAAGCAGAAGGACATCGTGCGCATGCAGCTCAACATGGTGGCGCCCATGGATATCGGTATGGAGCAGTCCGGACCCCTCGGCCCGGACTCCATGTTCGCGCTCAAGACGGTCGACAAGGCCGGCGGCGTGAACAAGATCGCCAAGGGTAGGATGGCCATCCTCAAGGAGAACGAGAAGAAGAAACAGGAGCAGGATTCCGGAATCTCGTATGGGTCCGACGACGACAGCGAAGACGAGGCCGAGGACCGCCTCGAGCGTGAGCTGGACGGCATGTACGACCAGTGGAAGGAGCGCAAGTCGGCAGCGGATGCCAAATGGCGGGCCAAGCGCGCGCGTGAGGAGCACAACGACGAGGAGTGGGAGGGTGTCTCAGCCGACGAGCAGAGTGACAGCGATGAGGAGTTTGAAATCGAATCGGGCAGCGACGACGAGTCTGACGAGGACGAGGACGACGGCGACAAGCCGCTCGTCACCGACTTGGACAACACCGCGGAAGACGGCGACCTGTCGAAGCGCGCGAGGAATTTCTTCAGCCAGGACATCTTCAAGGATATTCCTGGCGTACTCGACAAGCCCGAGGATGACGGCATGGACGGCGTCGAATACACCAACGGAGCCGACTCCGATGAGGAGGAGGCCAGGCCTTCTAAGAAGGCCAAGAAGGAGTCCAAGGCTCAAAAGGCCAAGGACGAGAAGAGGAAGGCCAAGGAGGACAAGAAGAAGACTGTTGAGAAGGAAGAGGAGGACGAGTCCAGCGAGAGCGAAGACGACGGCGGTTTCGAGGTTGTCAAGCACAACGAGGAGGACTGGGAGAACCAGGAGAAGCGCAAGGCGGACGGCAGACTAGGTAAGCTCTCTCTCACATCACCCCTCCCCCAGAACTCATGCTAACCCCCCGCCAGACATCGACATCATCACCGCCGAGGCAATGACGCTCGCGCACCAGCTCGCGACGGGCCAAAAGACGAAGCACGACGTCATCGACGACGGCTTCAACAAGCACGCGCTCAAGGACCGCGACGGGCTGCCGGACTGGTTCATCGACGACGAGGGCCGGCACGACAAGCCGCACAAGCCCATCACCAAGGCGGCGGCGGCGGCGATCCGCGAGAAGCTGCGCGCGTACAACGCGCGCCCGATCAAGAAGGTGCGCGAGGCCAAGGCGCGCAAGAAGTTCAAGGCCGCGCAGCGCCTGGAGAAGCTCAAGAAGAAGTCGGACCTGCTCGCCAACGAGGAGGGCATGACGGAGAAGGAGAAGGCGGAGAGCATCGCCAAGATGATGGCCAAGGCCGGCAAGGTGAAGCGCAGGCCCAAGCCGACGCTCGTCATTGCCAAGGGTGAGTTCTTCTTCAGAGATTCTGTTAAAAATGCGTTGCTAACGTGCTGCCGCAGGTGTCAACCGTGGTGTCAAGGGTCGTCCCAAGGGCGTCAAGGGACGCTACACCATTGTGGACTCGAGAATGAAGAAGGATCTGAGGGCGCAGAAGAGGATAGCCAAGAAGAAGAAATAGTCGTCGCTGCAGTTGTTTTGTTAATCATACCCCGAATCTTAGATGGCGAGGAAAATGATAGAGTTCATGGTAATAAAAAAGCAAATATGGGAACGGAAAGACATCACCACGAGTATTTGACGATTGTGTTTCTGTTTCTGTGTCTGTCTTGCTCGTTCGAAAGACTCTGGCCGTGTGTTTTTGTGCGATTATCTGAATCGTCATGTCCACGAAGTGGGATGGACGACAGTGCGTGGACGAAGCATGTCTCTGAGGGCCTCAAGACATGCATGGTGTGAGAGGTTCTCAAATGGTGCCAAGTCGAGCAAGTTGGGATATAATCATACTTCACATTATCATAAGTCTTGTAACTAGATAACTCGTCCCGCTGCCCTGAAAAGCGTACCTCTATCGACGGATGAAGGGAATCATAGGTAAAAAGGACAAATGCCGCCGCCGAAATAAACAATCAAAAACCCTATGCCAGGCACCGTGGTTCGTACTTTACAGCATCCTGAACAAGATGGATGGACGACGCGCAGAAACAAACGCAAACCTCCCGTCTTTTTTTCCAGGAACGTCTAGCCCCCTCGTCGAGGTGTTCCCCTGCATCTTGACATCGTACAAGTGTTCGGTATTTACCGCCGTCCGCAAAGAACCCATGAAAAATAATAACCAAGTAACGCCGTTTCTCCTTCTGCGAGCAAGCCGTAAATGCAAAGTTGCCGCTCCGTCGTGTGAGTACATCGATTCGTACGCTTCTCCGGCCATTGTGTGGTTGGAGAGGAGAGTCTGTCCGCGCCCGTCTATTCGTCCTCTACTTTGATCCTCGGTCCTTGGTCAGGGGCTCGCGGACCCAGCATCCAATCCTGCATGGCCAGCCACTCGCTCCAGCTGGACTCTGCGCCTTGGATCTCCTTCTCGGTGACGTTTTGCAGGGGTCTGAGGAAGGGGACCTGCTGCTCGCCGTCCATGTCGTAATGCGTCTTGACTTTGAGCCAAGTTTCGCTCTTGGCTGCGAACATGTAGTTGCGACGCTCGGCTTCGTGCATGGGCCCAATGCCGGCCATCCAGTCGTCGCCAAAGAAGCCGTGTAACACGGCGGGATAGTCGAAGCCGGTGGCCACCAGTCGACGAACGTACGGCGTCAGTGTCGTGTAGGTGGCTGACGGTAACTGGGCACCAAGCGGCAACTTTCCAGCTGCCCGGGCGGTAGACGGGGTTGAAGGCCCGGGCCCGGCAGGGGATGAGGGCCCGGTCTGCTTTGAAGAGAGGACCGGGTTGTGCGGCTTTTGGAAGGGCAGCTGGATGTTGACGAAGGCAGCCACTGCCTGAATGGGCCCTGTGTACTGGGCGTGGTCCAGAAAATAGCGTAGGCAAGACTGGAACTTGGGATACCACTCGAAGATGTCGAATTGAGACTCTTGGAACGGCTGCAGAGGAGGCCCGTTGAGCTGCGGTGCACCTGGATGCCCGGTGAAAGAGTGGCCTACCTGTGCATACTGGAACTGGAACGACGATGAGCCAGCGGATGAGCCGCTTGAGTGATGGTAGGCCATGAGGTCTCGGGGCAGGATGCTGCTGCTGATTCGTGGCAGAGTACCGAGAGAGATTCGGAGTTCGATTTTTTTCTGATCGGCTCGTCGGTTGTGTGTCGGCCGGGTCA